AGCAGGGTTGAAGATGGTTATCAGTGGGTGCATTTGCTGTTGCTGCCTGCTGAAGATGACAGAGGAGATTGAGCACTCTCTTGTATAGACCTTGCTATCTCGCTGATATGTAGAAAGCTCCACTATATCTGTTGTTCTTGTCTCGTGCTCTCTCATGGTGAAATTAACTCCTTGTGTAGGAAATATTGAACTGCTTCTGTAGTTACTGGCCACATCTTTTGTGTCTTGGATTGTTATTCTTATGTCTTCTCCAGCTTGCTCTCCAGTGGATTGAGTACTAAGTACTAATACCACCACTTGGAGGATGGGCCAGAAGAAGGATAGAATAACATCACTTATTCTGGTGTCTCCAATGATCTTACTGCTTCGACAGAAAAGTGTGTAACTGGTTCTTCTGTAGGTATCTGTGTGTGATTGTGTTTGCATTGGGATGCTTGTAGACTTGTGGATGTTATTCCTCAGTTTATCTTTCTGTCCCCATTCTTCTTCTGGTGTTGAGGTTTTCCACTCAAAGCATTGGTCAGTCATATTGATCTGCTCATTTTCCTGCTTGTGCTGTTTGTGCTTATCCTCTTATCTTCTTCAAGGGGATGAGCACACAGTGCTAATACCACCCATAGAAGTCGAGTAATAGGACAAGGTTGCACTGTATTTTTCATTCCTGCAAAAAAGAAAACAATATTAGTGAAACACTTTATCAACACCATCTCCTCCAGAAGGATTTGATGATGTTGATCCAGTCTTGTTTCCAGTTCCTTTCCTTCAAAAGTGTCTTCCACAATGTTTGCCTTTCCTCCTTGCCTAACTATTAGTCTCCTATCTGGCCTCTTACAGTAGGTGTTCAAGCTCCAGTTCTTTGTATCTCTGGTGAGGATCTTCTGCTCATACTGCTGGTATGTCAAGATCTCAGTTATCTCTGTGGTGCTGTTANTCTGTGGTTTTCTGGCTCTCAACAGTATAGCTCGACTCTTTATACCCTTGACCTTACCATTTCCTTTTTTTTCAAAACATGAGCTCATTAACTTTGATTTCCATAGGAAGTCCAAACTGGCTTGTCCTGTGTTGCTTATCATCTGTCTTCTCCTCCTCTGTCCAGTTCTCTTAAGTATTCTGGACAGCTGTACTTTGCATTTTGTGTCTTTAGGTGAGTCTAGAGTTGGTCCAGCATCATATCTGCCACCAGCACCCCCTTGTTCTGTCCTTTCATTCTGTGATATTTCAACACTCCTGTGCTGCTTCCTCTCATAATCTGGAAGCATATTGATCATCCAGCAATTGGTGCCACTATCCAGATGTAATGTCTTCCCACTGGACTGAATGCACAGCATTGATACCACCAATAGGGATTCCATTAGATCAGGATAAATAGCACATGCAATGGTGTATCCAGTGATCTTGCTGTTTTGACAGTCATGTGTGTGTCTGGATCTTCTAGAGGTATCTGTATGAGGTTGTGATTGCTTTTGAGTGGTTGTGACCTTAAGGATTTTTCTTTGATGTTCAGAGTTGTTGTTCTTCTGCTCTTCTTTCTGTCCACATTCTTCATCTGGAGTTGTGGTTTTCCTCAAAAGGCATTGGTTAGATCTGTTCCTTTTCCAGCTTATACTACTTGTGTTTGTCCACTTATCTCCTTCAAGAGGATGAGCACTCAGTGCTGATACCACCCATAGAAGTTGTGTAAGAGAACAATATTTCACACCATTTTTGCTTCCTGCAAAACAGAGCACAGTGTTAGTGTAAAGCTTTACCAATACCATCTCCTCCAAGAGGATTTGATGGAGTTGAGCTGGTCTTGTCCTCCTTTCCTTTCCTTCTCCATTGGCTTTCTTCTTGATGTTTTTATTAACTCTAAAGATGTTTGCCACATTGTATGTCTTTCCTCCTTGCCAAACTGTTAATTTCCTATCTGGCCTTTTACAAAAAGTGTTCAAGCTGCACTTCATTGCATCTCTGTTGAGGATCTTCTGCTCATACTTGAGCTCAATAGTATTGATTTCCATAGGAAGCCCACCATGGCATGTTCTGAGTTGATTATCATAAGACCTCTCCTCCTTTGCCCAATTCTCTTAGGTGTTCTGGGCATCTGTTCTTTGCCTTTTGTGTCTTGAAATGGGTCTAGAGCTGATCCAACACCATCTCTGCCTAAAGCAGTCCATTTTTCTACCCCTTCCTTCTGTAGTATCTCACATCTTCTATGCAGGTTCCTCACATGTTCTGTAATCATATGGATCTTCCAGCAGTTGGTGCTACTATCCAGATGTAATGTCTTCCCATTGGAATGAATGCACAGCATTAATACCACCAAAAAGGAATCCATTAGATCAGGATGAAGTAGTACTTGCATTGTACCTGCAAAATAAAAACAATAGTTAGTGAAAAAGGTGTGCAGCAATGCCCTTTTCCTTGCAGAGAGGCTTTCCATTCTTCTTCTTCCTTTTGTTCTTTTCACCATATCTCCTAGCTCTTTGCAATTCTTATTCTTAAGTGTGGACATTGCAATTTATCTTCATTAACTATCCTTCTGCCCTGTGAGTCCAGATCCCAAAAACTAAAGCATTCTATTTCTCCCTCATCAAGGGCATAGTTTGCTAAATGATCTGCCAGCTTATTCCCTTCTCTGAAAATGTGTGAAACTCTTGAATCTACTCCCTTCAATAGCTCCATAATTCCTTCCACATGTTCAGCAATGCACCATGGAGGCTTCCAGTTTCCCTTGATAACATTCTTCATGAGCATTGAATCTGTTTGCAACCAGATTTTGTTATGATTCTGTGCTATGCACATCCTTAGTGCCTCCAATATAGCTATTGCTTCTGCTTCATTATTTGAGCCATCTGCAATCTCCCTTCCAGCAGCATAGGTAATGTCTCCCTGCTCATTTCTTACACAAAAACCAATCGAGCTCCTCCCAGGATTGCCTCTCGATGCTCCATCTGTGTTGACTTTGATCCACCCCTCTTCAGGTAATTCCCACAGAACTTTTTCATATTTCAATCTGGGAGTATAATTTTCTAACATATCCAGAAGTTGTTGCCACTTATGAGGGACTGTCAATCCTGGCTTTCTCAGTTGGACAAGCTGTTGGAGAGTTGTTGACACTTGATAAATCACCCTGCTAACTGACACATTCTCCCCATGTTTCAAACTGTTTCTTCTTTTCCACAGTTCCCAAACAATGCTAGCTGGTAAGGCTTGCATTATAGGTTGCATTCTAGGCAGCACTTGGGCATTCCAGCATTTGGTTATTGCTTGATGTAGATTGAGATGTTCTATATTGATACCTGCTCTACTTAGAAAATATTTCCAGACTGTGATAGCTGCCCTTGATGAATAGAAAACATGTGTCAAAGATTCCTCTGTAGGATCAGCACAGCACCAGCATTTTGAAGGCATGGAATATCCTAGTCTCCTCATGAAATCATCCAGTGGTAACTTGGCTTTCCAAACTTTCCACATGAAGAAAGCAATTTTAAAAGGCAAACCTTTCACCCACATTTTCCTATAAGCCAGTCTGGGATCCTCTCTTCTTCTGAGAAATTCCCAGGCAGATTTCACACTAAAGTGACCTTTTGTTTCAATCATCCAGAATGGGACATCCAACTCATCTTGATGCAATGGAGGAGTGATTCTTTCCACTATATGTCCTACTAGGTCTTCTGGCAGCAGCTCTAATAGTCTATCCACTTTCCAGGCACCATTTTCAACAGCTTCAAAAACATTATGGATGCTCTCATCAATACCAAACTCTGGTGGAACCACAAAATANCTTTCCACAATGTGTCCTACTAAGTCTTCTGGCAGCAGCTCTAATAGTCTATCCACTTTCCAAGCACCATTTTCTACAGCTTCAAAAACATTATGGATGCTCTCATCAATACCAAAATCTGGTGGAACTACAAAATATAAGGCTCCTAAACCAGTCCAGTTATCAAACCAAAACAGGGCAGAGCCCATTTTTGGTCTCCAGATTATTAAATGTTCTATGCTATCCCTGCATTCTAACATTTTCCTCCATATATGGGATCCTTCTCTCCAAGGTACTATAACAGCATTAAGCTTCTTGCAGTATTTCTGACTCACAAATGCACTCCATAAACTAGGCTTTGTTCTGAGATTCCACCATAGTTTACAGAATAGTGCCTTGGATACATCATGAAGAGATCTAAATCCAACCCCACCTTCTTCATATGGCATACATAAGGTGTTCCATGAAGCCCAGTGCCTATGATTTCCACCCACTGAACTGCTCCAAAAGAATCTAGCAAAGATCTTGTGTAGGATGTTTATCACATTACTTGGTGGATTAACAGCAGACAGAAGATGTATAGGCATGCTCTGTAACACATTAGCTATCAATATTGCTCTACCACCAACAGATAAAAGCCTACCCTTCCAATTCTGTAACTTATCTAGTATCTTAGATATCAAACCTTGATAATAAACCATTTTCCTGCGAGCATAGAATATTGGGCATCCCAAATATGTGAATGGAAACTCCTGCCTTCTGAAACCAGTAATATACTCCACTTTTTCAGAAACTTCTAAATCAGTCAGATGGTGCATATATACTGCAGATTTTGCCTTGTTCACAAGCTGTCCTGAAGCCTTCTCATAGGCATGTAATACTTCCATTATCAACCTTAAAGAAGTAGCATCTGAGGAAGAGAAGATGATTGTGTCATCTGCATATGCAAGATGGTTTATTTTTGGGCTCCATTTAGGTAGACCAAATCCACAGAAGCACAGGTTCAAGTGAAGGGCATTTAGACCTCTTGAGAGAGCTTCTGCTGCCAAAATGAACAGAGTAGGAGATAGGGGATCTCCTTGCTTCACACCTCTAGATGATTTGAAAAAACCATAGGGCTGCCCATTAATTAGTATAGAATACCAGTTGTTTCCAACAATATCATATATCATTCCTATGAACATTTCTGAGAATCCCAGCTTTCTCAAGACTTTAGTCAGAAATAGCCATGACAGTCTGTCGTATGCCTTTGTCATGTCAAGTTTGATAACTACATTTGGACCAGCTCTTGTTCTTAGTCTTATATCAGTGATTATCTCCTGTGTTAACAGAACATTCTCTGTTATACTCCTTCCTTTAACAAATCCTGCTTGTTCTTCAGATATCAAGGTAGGCAGTAACACCACCAGTCTTTCATGAATCACTCGAGAGAAGATTTTATTGATGAAATTACTCAAGCTGATGGGCCTCATATCAGAGAAAGACTTGACCTCCTGCACTTTAGGTAAAAGTACCAGATTTGTGTGAGTGACACTCTTTGGTAGCTGTCTTCCACAGAACAATGCTAAAGTCATCTGATATATGTCTTCTCCTATTATGTCCCAGCAAGAGTGATAAAATGCTCCTGTAAAGCCATCTGGTCCCCCTGCAGAGTCCCCATTTAATGCAAAAACAGCATTCTTCACTTCATCTTTTGTAGGGAGGCTAACAAGTCTATCATTTTGTCCAGCATCAACTAAACATGGAACATGTTCCAGAATTCCAAAATCTGTAGGCACCACTGTCTCAGTGAACTGTTCTTTAAAAAAGCTTACTGCTTGTTCTGCTATGAGATCATTCTCCTCCAGCCAGTTCCCCATTCTGTCTTGGATTCTTTGAATCTTCAGTCTCTTCCTCCTACCATTCACTTGTGCATGAAAGAATTTTGTGTTTCTGTCTCCATCTTTAAACCATGCCATACCAGCTTTCTGCCTCCAAAACTCTTCTTCTATAGCAAGGTAACTGATCATTTCTGCTTGAACT